TTTTCTAGATTTTGACAAAAATACTTAAATTCCCTGATTTTCCCCTGAATATTTTGGTCAATTTTTGAATTCCCTGACTTCTCCCGGTTTTCCAGGTAACTTGGCAACTCTGTTTCATTCTCCTATTTAAGTGGCAACCCTGTATTAATCATTGTTTGATCTAAAATTAAGAGAGCTTTAAAATTTCATGCTAAGGAACATGAGGTAAATGTTAGGAAAAAAATACATAAATCCTGTGTTGCCCAATACAATTGCTCAGAAAATCACGTTTTCCATTTTTTTTTTTTTTTTTTTTGCATTCAAAATTATTCCAAAAAACATCTATTGGCAAATTAGATTTTATAAAAGTGTTTCACATTCATAAAAATCTGTCGGTTCTACTTAACAGTTCGAATTCCTATTCGTCTTTACCGTCAGCTTTTTAAGGAAATTATAGTTTTTTTCATTTTTGATACCAGTAGTGAGACCCCTCCCTCTCATTCTTATTGCCTTATCACCATTTTTTCTTTTTTAATTTGCACTTATGCAGCTGAAGAAGGTTCTATATTTAAACCTTCATAGCTAGTCCTACAGATTTATGAATATTTGTACTGATTCTTGTTGCTTTAACTCCTCCAATAATCATTATTTGGTCTGTTATTTTAAATTTGATTTTAATTAGTTAAAATTAAAGGAATTTTAATGCATGAAGTTTTTCAAAATGTTTGATGTCTGGAATTAAATTATCTAGATTGTTATTAAATTCAGTAATAATTAGGATATCTTGTAATTGCTAATTATAATTCTCAAAATTATTCTGGGACATCCTTCTGGGAATTTTTATAAATGTTACATCAAATAATCATAGAGCTCTCTGCTGTGCATGTTTTTGCAGTTAGGAATTTTTAATGAAAAGTTGTTGCTTTAAATTTATTGATCGAACACAAAAATAATTTTTGGATGTTATTTTATGTTGCTAACTTATAATGCAGCTTATGTTTTTAATGTTTTTTTTTTCCCCCTAAGCTGTTAACTAATAATGTTTTGAGATGTAATGTCATCAGTTTTTTGTTTAAAATATCAGTTTCTTGCATATTACAGTTAGCATGCTTTATTTACAAAAATCAGTTTAGATTCCCCCCTTCCAAATAATAGCATACTTTCTGTGTTTTACCTTTAATGGGATTCTGGATTTTTGGCAATTTTAAAGTACTTGTATTGTCATTCTGGCAGTTATTAGTTTCTAGCAATTTAATTTAAAAGTCGTTTAATGATGTTAATACTTCATCACTTTTAGTAAAAGCTGAATTAACTAAGAGACAGTGTGAAGTAATTGTTTGAAGAAGGCAGTTTGCACTTTGAAGAAAGCTTTACTTGATAATAAATAAATTTATTTCAGGGATTAGCTGTAGAACAGATAGCTTGAAGACATACAGATACCTTGTTGTAATAACTCAAAATAAATATGTCTTATCGAAGAAAGAACCCTTGTCTGTAAGTTATAGCATATTAACATCGGACGAATCCATGGCAAATGCTTATGGACATGGTTTTTATGAAAACCAGAGAAATAGTGTTTATGCTTGTAAGATGTCTTAGTATATTAATGTTCAGATATCCAATCTTCTACATCAGGGGTGGTCAACCTTCTCATACTTACTGTCCGCTTCGTAGGCAGTAAAATTTCTATACTGCTCATGCATTCACAGTAACTTAATATAAAGCAACTGCAAAGTCATTTTTAAATGGAGATTTAGTAAAAAAATATATACAGTTAAATATGTGTATTTATTTATGCTATAATTTACAATATTAAACTTTTAATAGACAGACAATTTGTTAACAAACAACAAAGCCATATAAATATTCGGAAACCAGAAAGCACTGCGTGAATTAGAATGGACAGGTGGAGAACTGAACTTTTAGGAGTGTGTATATATCAACACATCCATGCGTATTTCTATCTTCTTTGATCATTATTAGATGAAAACCTCCACCACCCGGTTGTGAAAGATTAAATCCTCCACTAGTGGGCAGTAGGGACCAGGTTGACTATCTTTATTCTACACCAGAGGTTTTCACCCGGTGGTATACCACTGGTGGTATGCAAGAGAAAAATAGGTGGTACACAAAGAAGCAAACAAAACTATTAAACTATTAAATTAAAAAATTAAATCCTCAACATCCTGATTGAGTTTCTTCTCTAACACTCGTAAATTTATGCAATCTGAGCTTCGTTAAAGAATGGTGGTGGTGGTAGTAGTACTTTGTAACGGTGGTTTTAAAGGTTTTCAATTTTTGTTTAGATAGTATGCATTAGTCAAAAGGTTGAGAACCGCTTTTTTACGCTTTCTACGCTACAAGATCGGGGGACAGGGTGATGTCTTCGGCTTCCTTTTTGCATTACACGAATTGGAGATTGCATTCAGAAATCTGAAAATTAGAAAAACATGAGGAGTAGACTATATCCATGCTGAATTTTTTAAGATTTGGGTAACTCTGCAAAGGAGATACTTTTAAATATTTTAAGTTACATTTGGGAGACTGGTGTGGTCCCCTCACAATAGAAGAAAGGACTGATTGTCCCAATTCTCAAAAACAATAGATGCAAAATATATGTCAAATTATAGACATACATTGCTGGCATGTTTGATGCGATAGGGGATGGGGGAAAATGGGTAACGCAAAGCTGAACTGGTATTTGGAGCATGTTGGTTTACCAAGATGCAAACAGGTGGATTTTGTAGAGTTCAGTCGACAAATTTTCAAGTTGCTTATTTTGTTCAAGTCATGAAGGATGGCTCTTGGTGCTAGAAATGTCTTGATGGCTGTTTATGTTGATTTTAAATTAGCATACACTAGGCTGTGGAAGGAGAAGTTTTTTTTAGGTTTATTGAGCTTGGTATTAGGAAACAAAAATGTTAAATTGTATTGCTGTTTTATTGGATAATGTTTCTGTGCAGTCAATGTTGGAAATAAAGTATTTAAAATTTTTGTCCTGCAGACTTGTCTCCCTTCAAAGCATCGTTGAGGGCGTTTTGAATTTCCCTTAAAACCTCCTCTAGGAAGGCATCATTACCCATAGGCATATAAGCCGTCTGTGTGCTATGCCGTATAAAGTTAACCTAACTTTAGCCAATATAGTGGATAACCTAACTTTAGCCAACATAGTGGATATGGACTTGAACTGAAATAGCTCAACTAGATGAGGGTATCATAATTAGCGGCAGTTAGATATTACCTGTTGTGAGGTTTATTTAGCATTTAAATAGTGCAATTATTCTATATAGTCTAATAATTAAACTCATTGCTCTTGTTCTGCAATCTCAATTATAAGATTCTTTCAAACTCCAGAACAAAATATCAAAGGAGGGGATCTTATATTCTAGTAAGTACTGTATGTAGGAAAAAATGAAAAAGTTGAAAAAAAAATTTTTTTTTTTTTAAATTTTTCTTAGCACACATTTGTAAAATTGCTGGAGGGAGAGGGAACCAAATTAGGAATAAACTTGTTAAGTATAGCAGATTTCTGAAAGCATATAAATTAGTGATTCTTTCTCATTTAGAACTAAAATTACGCAGGCAAATGTAAATACAATTTTTATCATTCTGAATAATTTAATAGAAAGAACTTTTATCATTCTGTGTTTCGCTTTGTTCATTTTTGTTAATTTTGTTCTAAGTAAAGAAAAGTTGAATTTAATTTTTAAACTCCAATACACTAAACATTTTAATTTTTACTTTTTTTAACACAAAGTCAAATGAAAAGTTTACTTGAAACTTTTTGAAGTAAATTTTAATAGATTCAGTACCTGATGCAACAGGGAAATGATGTTGACTGTCTTCAAAATATGCCCTGTGATTTACATTTGGGTAGAATTACAGAATGATCTGGATCTTAACATCAAATCTGAGGGAAAACACCATAATTGAATCTTTTACAGAAATTAACTTTTTCTTTAGAATGTCTCAATTTGGTATTAACAGGCTAAATAACAATTATATCTTCAGAAATGCATAGTTTATGAGAGGGGAAAAAACTGAGAATATTAGATTATTTCCCAAAATTTGTATTATGGTTTTGGTTTGGTTTATTGAATTATGGCAAAGCACACTAGGGCTATCTGTCTAAAATTTGTATTATGAAATATATAGATGAGGAGTAAAGAAAATAAATGTTGAGAAAATTGCAAATATAGCAACCTTATAAAGAGCACAGATGCACACATGCAAATTTTACGACTTTCATGGCGGGAATGAAATACTGCTTGAAAACTAGTCATTTTGAAGTAGTGTCAGAGGGGTAAAAATGTTTGCGATCACACCATTCTGAAGTATTTCAAGCCGGATTTAGAACGTTAAATTATGAGAAAATAGGACCATGTATGAAAGTAAGTCATCAAAAAAAGGCTTGTTCACTGCTATAATTTGGTTAGAGTAGCAAAAATTTTTTATCTGGTTATGAATTTAGTTCGCATTTGATTATTATGAAGTTCTTACAAGGAACACTAGAATAAAAAGCGTTTAAGACACCAGAATCTCACCATTGTTTGTTCAGATAATAGTCCCACCATATTAGTTATACAGCTCCATCTCTCTTTTAATGTAGAGTGTTCCAGGGACAGATCCTACTATCTCCCTCTTTTGTTTCCCTGCTGTCAAAACTACTTGAGAGGACTTTCAGCTCATCAATATTGTAAGTCGTACCACACAGACAGTATGCACTTAAAAAAATCCATGTTTTCTCCGGGATTTGAACATCGACCCAATGGTACAGTAGCCAGTTAATCAGTATTAGGGTGGTAGTCTTGACAAGGCAGGATCTTATTTACAAGTTTTCCATCACAAAACTACCTGGAATGTTAAGGTTTGATGACTTCAAAAAGATTACAGAATTGCCCTTATTAAATCTGACCACTGTATTATATTATTAGGTGCAGGTACAAATCTGTCATATAAAGTGTTTTAAATTGATATTTGATAGTATATAATTTTATTTAACTTTATGATATTCTTTTCAGTCGTACAGCTGAACAGTTGATGAAGGAATCGGGATGTAGACTGGATCATCCTTCTGCAGCCAAATTTCAGGCTCATGTGATGGATGGTGACTGGCCAAAGGTGATTTCTTTCTTTTAACTGAAGTTAATTTTAGATTCTTGTGAAAATTGTTTGAGCAAAATGTTTTATTTTTAACTTTGAACCCTCTCTATTGAGAATGCCTAGTAAGTAAATATTTAGAAAATTCAGTATAACATTTTTTAGACTTACTTGAGGAGGAAAATGCAAGTTTTATTTGTATATGAATATTTACAACTGTAAATATTAACATGAATAAGGTTGTCTTAAAAACATAGTTCAGCAAGGAAGGGAATATTTATAGTTTTAAAAGTTTTCATTACATACATATTTAAAATTCTAATATCTTATTTGACTTCAAATCTTTTTATATGAATGTTGTTTTTTATCAAAAAAAAATTTTAATTGATAGTGAAATTTCATTATTTTAACTCAGTTTTGAGAAACATGGATGTCTTAAATGTATCTAATTACATATTAACTCTTAAAAAAACATTTTATGTATGTTATATTACAGCCGAAACTTGGCGTTGTCTTGAGTGTATACTGTATGAGTTTTACACTTGTACTTAAATACTTGTATTTTTAGTATTTAATATTTCTTCATTTAGCTATATACTAGGTTTTTATTTATTTAAGTAGTTGTAGTCTTTATCTTTTCAAGCTTTGAATTTTAAATTAATTTGTGTTTGGTACACATACTAAGCTTTATACAGGTTTTATTTCATTAACCCTAAAGTAAATGTATGAGTGTAAAACATTTGTGCAAGCAAGAAGTAAATATTTACTTTAAGTTGAATATCATAAAAATGACACAATGATTTGATTACATGTAAAACAAAGAAAAAAAATTATGGGTGTTAGAATTTATTTTAGTATTTAGCTTGAAAGTGCCTAATAAAATAATTGTGTGTATTTACTTTTGGAGTGTACTGTCATGAATTATAATCTAATTTAAGACAAGATCTTGTTACCTAATTCATTGGAATGAAATATGTAGAATAAATGGTTAGTATTAAATACACTATGATAAAAGCTACCCAGCAAAAAATAACCTTAAATAAACAAGCAAATACATTATCCAGTATTTATAGCTATGAAATTAGGGACAGATCTGAAAAATGTTATGGTGCTTAGATCTGTTATGCTTCATATAAAAAATATTGAGCATCTAAAATTGTTCCATGCAAATAAATCACTTTCATGAAAAGATTTTAAAAAACCTTGAAATTCTTTTCATTTGCATCATCTGTTAGATTGACCTTGAAATTCTTTTCGTTGCATCATTTGTTAAACCTGATACCTATAAACACTGAGTTGTATATTCACTTTTTTATTTAAAGTTGTTTTTTGCTGGGTAGTTCTTATCTTAGCTGAATACTAATAATCTTCCTAAATTTTCATTCCTTAAATTAAATAGCAAAATCTTACTTTGTATTAGATTGTAATTTATGACAATTTTAAATTCTTATATGTGTATGGTTAGCTGAAGCATCCTAAATGAGACAAATTCTTTCTAAGGAGCATTTCTGATGTTCTTTGGATAAGTTTTTGTATTCTTCCTGTCACAGTACTGCCATTTAAAAGATGTTTTGTATTAATAATATGCATAGTAATAATTGAATAAATAATAAATTGAGACATAATTATAGTTGAATAAACAAAAGACAAATATTTCCATATCTTTGACTTGTTACCATTGCAGTGGTAATTTCAGAATATGTTATGGCTTTGGGAAGATGGCCATAATTTTATTGAATAATAAACAGCTGCAGTCCATTGAGTAAATACTTACAATAAGAAACCTAATTTGTAAGCCCAGCAGACATTAGTATGCATGAAGCAGTGTGCTTCTGGAATGCATCTTAAACAGAGATATAGAAAATTTGTTTGAGAAAAAATGGTAATTCTTTATGCTGAAAATTGGTGCAAATTGACAAGTTTGTCTTAATTTTTTTTTTTTTTTTTTGTTGTATCCTGAGTTTCTAATCTCAAGTTTAACTCTTCGCAGTGAGTTTAGCCTTGTCTCTCTCGTTTTTACTCTTTACAATGGGTAAAAACAAGTGAAAGGAAATGCATATGGTGTGTAAAAGGAAATAAAAATTGCCCAAATTCTTTAAAATCTCTTCTTTCTTGTTTCAAATGAAAAACCTGTTACTTTATGCAAACTCTTTGCCTCTCCTAACACCAGAAAGGGGGATATTTGTTCATTTAACTTAACGTTTCTTTTTATTTAAAATTATTCAGACATCCTTGTTGTAAAATATCTCACTAGGTAAATTTCAGTTAATCAAGCAAATGTAAATTACAGAAAAATCATTTTTATGTTAATCCAAGTAGTGTAAAATCAAGTTTCTGCAACTGGTGTAACGAAAGTAAATTATACTGTTTTACTTACATGCATGCACAACATTATACTGAAAGTCATTTTCATTCCTTTGCATTAATTCTAATCTTTCTATTTTGATTTAGGCTGAAGCAGATCTTGGGGATTTAAAACCACTTCTTGAAACTCAACATTCCTTAATTGTATGTTTCAAAATCTTTTCTTCATTATTTTTACGAGGGCAATCCCAAAAAAAAGGTCTAGATTTTTAGATATACAAAGAACCGTTTATTTTCTATAATTGCTACATCACTTTAAAGATTGCAGAATGCTTTATTTTTCAACATAATCGCCATTTCGGTCGATGCATTTTTGTAGACGCTATGGCAGTTTTACAATGCCCATGTCATACCAGCTTGCCGCCATGCCCTTCAGGAAGCGTTGAGGAGCTTCAGAAGCATCCAGATGATCCTCCGATCTTTACGCATTTTATGAAATCAACAAACGCGAAACTCAACGAATACGAACTTAACAATCGCGAAAGTTGAGGAACTCCCTCAACTTTTGCTATTGTCTCGTCGCAATTGACGGCGTCCCGCTCCTTTCTTCGTCATGAATTTCAGTACGACCGGCTGTAAACTCTCTACACCACTTGCGAACGTTTTGACATCCATGCACGACTGTCCATACACTTCTGTCAATAGGCAGTGAATTTCAACCGGTTTAACGCCTTTTGCGTTCAAAAATTGAATAACTGGGCGCACTTCACACTTGGCGGTAACGCTTATCAGGAGCTCCATTTCGAATGGCTGCCAAGCCAAGACTGAGAATCCGAGCGAAGCGCCTGCGTGTTTATGTGGTAGCGGAGAAGGCACCACTCACAACAGTGTTGCCAACAACCGTATTAAAACTTTCTCTACGTCCCCAAAAAATAGGAGACCTTTTTTTTGGGATTGCCCTCGTAGAATAGTATTTTAAAATTCCTTTCTATTAATAAAATATACAGGTGGAAGACATCCTTCAGAAGCTGCAGTATTTTTTATTAAGATAATCATGCTTTCCAAGCAGTATTATTTTCTTGTGTAATTTTTTCCAACATTTCTGTATCCCTTAAGCAATTTTAATATGACAGATAGAGCATAATTTTTAAATTTTGAACGTATATTAACTCGGTAAATTTTGTCATGTGTTTAAAAATAGTCATAATCAAAATTAATTCATTTAATATGAAATTATTTAATTGATAAGTTGTCTTGAATTAAGATAAAATGATAATTTTATTTAATTTAATGTTTTACTCTTTATTACATACCTCTGCATATTATTTATAAAAGTATGTATAGAAATTAATGTGAAAAGCTTACTGAATAAATACCTTAAGTTAGTGTTTTTCTAACTTCCTTTTTAATACATCATGCTGAATTGTTCATAATTCATTATTGAAGTTGATGTCATTTCTGCTGTGTAATATATATTAATATGAGGTATATGCTTTTATTCTGGAAATTTCAAATATGTATTTCAAATATAAATCTGTCATTTTTTTTTTATTTAAATGACATTTGGATGAAAATAATAGAGTAGAAAAATTATTTATGAAATCGTATAATTGCTTAAAAAATTACCTGTTTTAGCTGTATAAGTGCACAGTGTATTTTTACTTTTTATTTTATTTATTTATTTATTTTTTTACTGCTTTGTAAGAAAAGGTCAAAAGTGAATATAATATTCAGTATTTCTATTTGTAATAGCATGTGATTTTAGATAAATTTGTAATACATTTTCATTGTTTAAAAAATGTGTGATTGAAAAATACAGCAAGTTAAGCTATTAGGCATGTTTGGTATTTCGTGCCTTCAATACGCTCCTCGTGAGGTGACAAATCTCAGCCACTTATATTGGTGCAGGTATAAAAAATTTCAGATTTATGTTCATTAGTATAATTTGATTGCTTAATATTTTTATTATTTTTTTTTAATCTAAGAATTATATTAATAATTGCCCCCATGTAAATTAAAAGCTAATTATTTCATTGCTTTATATCATTTTAGCTTACAAAATGTTTCACAGGTACTTTCAGATTGTAGGAGAGACCTACATTTTTAATGCTTATTTCTTCAAATTTCATGAGTAAAGAAGTAACCAAAATTGATCTAAATTATTTGTTTCTAAAGGACACTAGTTTATTTAACAGTTGTGTTTTGTATTTATGCATTTCCTGTTAAGGGGGGAAAATACACATTTAGCTATTTAGTTATTTGTTTAATATAATAGCAAGTAGCGTAAGAAATGTGTGAGAGTTAATTACCAAAGTTATTAAATAACTGCTTTTTTATATGTATTGTTTGTTTATAATTAATAACATATTAAACTTTAAGCATATTTATTATTGGCATTAAAATACATTTTTTAAAAAAAATATTGCACGCAGTGTCTAAATGCATTTAAAAAATTAAGTGTATTATTTCTGATATCAAATTGCATATTTTATAGGAAATGAAATTTTTATTATTGGAACAAAAATATCTAGAGTATCTTGAAGATGGCCATGTCCTGGAAGCGCTGCAGTGTCTACGACATGAGTTGACTCCTTTGCGGTTTAATACAAATAGAGTACATGAGCTCAGTAGGTATGTAGATCTCATAAAGATATGAAAATTATTGAGTCATATTAGAGTTAAAGGATATTGCATGTAAATATGAATTGGCTATTTTACTATCAAAGACATTAAATCTTTTCTTTCTCTCTTTTCAATTATGTTCACTGAATGTTAAATTTGGTTGATTAATATATTTTTAATCTTGTAAGAAATTATTTTATATATATATATATATTTATGTATATTTAATAGCAACATTAAAGTGTTAGTGTATGTAAGTTTGAATTTAAAATGACTTCATATAGGGCCTTTTGAAATAATCCTTCCCTCAAAAATATGCATTATACTCACTAAATAGTAAGTTTGTGTTGATTATATATTTTTAATCTTGTAATTATTTTTTCTGTTGCTTATTGTAGATAGCTAAAAAAATTGTAAGGGGGAACTCGTGGAAAATATAAACATTTTTCAAAAAGCTGTGACACAATCTTTGTTTTTCTTGTACATAGTGATTTAATTCACATCTGATACAGTTTAACAAACTCAAAGTTCTCATTTGCACTTACTAATCGGCGGTTGTTCATCTGTCTTGTTAGAAATGTGACATTTTTAAAATTTTTCTTCTTAGTAAAATAGACTTTTATAATGTTTTTAGCTATTTTATTATATTTTGTTATAAATATGTAAAGTTAGGATATTTATCCTGAATTTGATAATTAATGCAAGATAGCTAAAAATGGTCTTGCTGCTTTTGATGTCTCATTTTTTATGAAGCTCTCACAGAGAAAAAACGAAGTAATTTGTGCCAAGAAAGCAATGGATAGTTAGTGTAAGCACTGCTGTGCATTAATAAATGCGCATTGCATATATATAGCAATCGTAGCTCGTCTAGAGTTGAAGAGAGATCGGGGTATCAAAGCAGCTCATGCATAGTTGTTTGCTGCTATGATTGGTAGTTTGTTTGTTGTATGATTTGGTAGCTTGTTTATTGTATGCAGGTAGGCCTATCAGTAACAACATCAAGTAATTGAAATGGAGGAAAACGTCATGAAGAAATGAGTCACCAGGCAAGTTCCAGAAGTTTGGGGGATCTGAGCCTTTGTTATGAGTCTCACACTGGGCAACCACAGATGTTGGATGAGGAAATCTTAAAGACAACCATAGAGGACAACAAAATGTTTTATAAATTTGCTAAACACTTCCAGGTTACCAAAGGAACATATTTCACCTCAACTCCCAAAGGAAAAATGAAACAGCTTGTTTTTCATTGCTGTTTTGGCTCAGCAACAAACCCATATATGGTCGAATGCTTACAATTGATGAAAAGTAGGTCCAATGTGTTACTCTATGCCTGACATGTCAAGATTTCTTTTTACACTTGTGTAAGATCATGCTTTGTGTCTGGTGAAGTAGTTGCATTCAGGGCTGTGGAGTCAGAGTCATAGAGTTGGAATCGGAGTTGGGTAGATTTTTGGGTAAAAGGAGTCAGAGCTTGAGTTGCTAAAATCACGTTGACTCAGACTCCAGTTTTTATTGGACAGTTTGAATTTGAAATGAAATTAAAGTGAATTGGAAAAAAAAATTAATGAGAAACTGAGTTAATATTTTTATTTATGAACTATATACATTTATATATAGTTATTTTCTATTTTATTGGCATATTCATAAATAAGTATTAGGGAGCAGGATGGATGGAATATTTCCCATTAATTTGATTTAATTGATTCATTTAGTTACAAAACTCATCGGTAAATTTAGGTTAGCAGCAGTAGAAGCAAGAACTTCCAAAATTGATGTCATTCTTAGGAAGCGAGCAGGAAAAGGAGCTATTATTGACCAAGCAACATGATGGGGAAGTACATATTTGATGATAAGGAGGTTGTTATAATTAAGAACTTTTTTAGAAGATGCAAATAACCCTAATGTTTCACTAAAAGAAAAACTGTGGAATGATCTTGCAGAATTGGAAACTCTTCTTTCTACACCATATATAGCCACAAAAAAGCTACAGTCTAAAGAATGAACAGGAGGAGAGAATGGAAAAATGTGATGTTTGTTCTTTCTGAAATGGAGGGTTTCTGAAATTTCTAAAATGAGATCTTGCTAAGGCAAAGAAAACCATCTACGAACTTTCATTAAGAATGAAATTATTCTCAGAACAACTGAAGTATTCAAATCAGGATAGTCAAACTGCAGACATTGCAACTGAGTCCCCCATCATCCTCTTCCAATGATGAATTAGATTTTGAGAAATATTTGGATATTACTGAAAAGGCTAAGGCAAAAGTGAATGAAAATAAAAAACCAAGAGCCTTTAGATATGAAAATAAAAAATACAAACAAGATTTCTACACGGCCTTTGAAGAAATAAGGAAATATGATTGCTTTCGCAAGATACCTCTTTTAGAACTTATAAAAATCTATCCTCAAAAGTTAAAAGAAGTAGCTCTAACATTAACAACTCTTTCTCCTATTTAAGTCAGTGTGGAAAGACTCTTCTCAGCTCTAAGTTTATCAAATCAGATATATGATCCTCTAACAAAGAAGATCTTGCTGAAGCTATACTGTTTCTTAGACGTTATTAATGCCAGTTTTTCATTTCATAATAAATGCTAATTAATATAATTTGCTATGCATCAAATTTTTTGTAGCATCTATTACGTATCTTATATTAAAAAAAAAAAAAACTGTAACCCATGTGTATATTTACATATATATGAGGGAGTCTGAGTCTTTAAAATTCTAGGAGTCGGAGTTTTGTCATTTTCCCTATTGACTCCACAACGTCGCGGCGCGCAATGAACCAGAAGTTGATCTGTCAGCATTATCCTTATCTTCAGGGCAGATGTTTTTATTTTATTCGGCTTATAATTCCTTACTAAATGTAATATTTCATCTCAATGTACTCCGTCTTTGATATGATTTAAATCAAATTCCTCGTCATTATAAATATTATGAATACACATCAAATAGTTTTCTGGTTGCAATTTTCTAATTTCGACTATGCGTAATGTATGCTTTACGCACAAACGCGTAAAAATGTTTAATAAAGTAAACAAATAAATATTGAGCCTTTTTTTTTTTTTTTTTTTTTTTTTTTTGTAAATTTTGATACCATTTAGATCATAATTGCTCTTTATTTCATAAATTACGGTTTCATATTTTTAATTTTAGGATTTCTGCATGCCATCTTACCATATTTAAACTGATGATCTATAATCCGCAAAAACCGATAATCTGGAATCACCGAAGTCCCGATGAGTTCGGATTAAAGACTTTTGACTGTATTAGTAAAAATAAAAAGAATATTTATCCTTTTAACTTTTAAATTTACACCAATCTTCTTCAGTGAAATGACTTTATAATCATAGCTAGACAAAATAAAAAAGGAATGTATCCACAGAAATGATGTTTGTCAAATTAGTATTTAAACTGTCTATCTATATAAATGAAGAAGTACAAAACTTGTATGCTTGAATCTGTGCTTAGGTTTTCATAACTGGCAGGCTTGCATATTATTATAAATTGTATATATCTTTCAGCTTTAAATTTGTTATGAATTGTATAGGAGATGTTATCTAAAACTAAATAGTCACAATTTAAAATACTTGGGTGAAATGGGGAAAGTCAAATTAAAATTTTGCATGATTATTGTGATGCCTGTCAGCTGAAGGATTTGAAATGGAAAGTTATGTAAATTAAAGAAGATTTGAAAAAGAAAATTTATTTTTTAATTCAAGTCTAGAACCAGTCCATGAAAAAATTTGGCATTATATCTTGTAAAACATAAGATTGTATCTAAAAGCTTATAAAGCTATATTATGTTTTTATATGTCATAGTTTTGGTTCTTGAGGTAATAAAAAATATATATGAATTTCACTACCAGTTAAGTGCAACAAAAGAATCCGTCATGAGAACTTTTTATAGTGTATTTTGAAATATGTGTATTGAACTAATGTTATAAAAATAGTTTTTATGTTCATGTTTGTGTGTTGTTAGATATATCTTGTAATTTGAAATCTTGTAAATTTGAATAAATTGAATGCTAATCAAACCCTTATATTCTTAATTAAGCTTTTAAAGCAAATTTAAATTATTTCTTTTCATTTTTAATGCATTTATAAGACTTCCAGATTATTTATCTTGATTTTTTTAAATATCTGAAAATGCTAAACTTTAAGAAATTATGTACACTTGAATTGCAAACTGTTTAATCACCATTATATTCTAGCTATATGATGTGTAGCACTGGTGATGAACTGAGGCGTATGTCACATTGGGATGGCAAAGGAACTGCATCACGACAAAAATTAATGGAAAAGTTGCAAGGTTGTTTTTATATTTCAATTTACTTCATTTTTTAATATACAGAGATACTTGATTTTGATGATTTAAAATTATGAGCTGCTGTATTCAGTAGTTGGATTTCTAAAACACATTTTATCATATGATGTTTTGTTCATTTTGTAACAGAGTCACTAATACTCTGGTACTTGCTTTTAAATGCTTTTAAACTATAAATGTATAGTATTAGCATTGCACATTTTACTTCATAGAATAAAATAATATTCATTGCAACAATAACATTCATTGCACTCTAGAGATTTTATTCAGTAAGTTCCTGCAGCATTTCTACATAATTTATGTACATTTAAAATTCAAAGTAATACGTTCCATTTCAGCGTATCAACTATGATATGGTGAGCTGTCAATGACAATTAACTTATGTATCACATATGATAGAGTGGGCCCACATAGAGACACTGAACCTTATCATATATGATATGCTGGGAGTGAAGAGGTAACCTTTTTGGTTCGGCTAAAGAATGCAGTAATTCTACTGGAATTTTAAAATATTCATTTTATTCGGGTTTAGTCATAGAGTATTTAGAAAATGTACAATTTTTATTAAATAATATTTTATTTACATTGAACCATAAAAAATTTCAGATACTTTTCCTTTATCTGTGAATCTGGCAATGTTTGGTTGTGTTTTGGCCATCTTTATTCTCGGAATTTTCTTTTTGAGTCCTGCATTGTTTGGTCTTGCATTGCGGCTCTTTGAATTACCATCCCTGAAAAAATTCATTAGAATATTTCCAGCAATGTGGCATTATCCCAAGTCATCAGATATTCTTCATGATATGAATCTGTGTTTTATCGATAAAAGGATTAGGTGACGATATAATGGCTGCCAAGAAGATGTAAGCATTAAAAAAGGTAACTGGTTTGAAAAATCTCATATCTCCTTTACATCTGCACTCAGATTTATTTATTTATGGTCTAAGGAATTAACCTCACTTCAATTTTGCCAAGTGAATTTGACCTGTCACGTGATACTGTAGTTGAATGGAACAACTATTTATGCGAGATTTGTACAAAAGATGTATCATGGCAAGAGAGGAAAAAGTAACTGGTTCTGGTCTAATTGTCGTAATAGATGAGAGTCTATTTACCAAAAGAAAGAATAATGCCAATTGTGTTTTGAAGAAGCAGAAGTTGGCTATTCTGATCTGAAAGTTGACTGCAAATATAATATCGTAGATCCGTAAACATGCGCTCGTACACAACCTGTCAAGCGATTATGGGATTTGGCTAAACAAAGAAATAAAATACAACACAGTACCACTAAGCAACATCTGATGTCCTAGCTGTCAGAATTTATTTGGAAAAAGAAGCAAGCGGTAGGAATTATTTTGATTCCATTTTAGAAGCAGTAGGCAAATGGTTTCTACGTAAAATAAATGCTAATTGACATGAGCAACACTCCTTCTATCCTTTTTATAATTAATTTTTGAAAGTCAGTGATAATAAGCATTGTCTTATCACTACATAGTATAAAACAAAGTCGCTTTCTCTGTCCCTATATCCCTATGTATGCTTAAATCTTTAAAACTACGCAATGGATTTTGATGCGGTTTTTTTGTTTAATAGATAGAGTGATTGAAGAGGAATGTTTATGTGTATAATAACATCCATTAAATAGTGGAGAAATACTGTTATTTTTTATGTTTCTAATGTGATGTCGTAAATAATTACATTTTTTCTGCTTGCATTGCAAACGCAGGCTGAACCCTATGATGTTTATCCAAATAATGCACTAAGTATTGTGCACATTGAAAAGGTCTACAGATTTAAAAATTGTAGGACGTAGCGTTTGCGGCGGCCGGCCGGGGCGGCGGGAGCGTGCCTACAAATAGCACGTCGGAGGCCGTGGTTCTCCCTATAGCACTTGGAATTTAGCAGCAATCAGACGCATTTATTATCGGAGCTCTCTAGCGAGGAAAATAACAATATACTTAATAAAAACGTGCTTTTCAGCGCAACAACATATCAGTTAGGCAATCACTTTACTACGCATTCACTAATGACAAGAAAGCTGTGAACGTTGTATATAAAGACATTCTGCAATATATTAATTGTTGTAAAAAATAAAATAAATAGGTAAAAATATATTGTATGAATTTAGATATTCCAAAGATAGCAGGAAATCTTCATAATATAGGGAAAGGGGAATTGTTTTACTCCAAATTTAACGCGTACGGGCCACAGACAGTAATGAATAAATCAAAACTACTGGATCGATTTTAATCATTTTTTGAGTGAGTGACATAGGCTATATATTTTATACCCATGCAAAGCCGGAGCGGGTCGCTAGTTATTAACTATGTGTTATATATCATTATTTGTTCGTATGATTTTACAATATTGGGAGCAGATAAAGGAAAAATACCAAATTTTAGGTCTGAACATTACAGTAATTTTAAATCTATCAGTTGTCTCAGAAATAAAGCAAATAATTATGAAAAGGTCATTATAAAATTTTTTTCACTTAGTGTTATTAAACTGCATGTTTTCTTAAACAAAGCTTATTTTGTGTTGAGAAAACATGTCATAAAAATGAGTGCATAACAGGCAGTTTTTTGTGCTGAATTGGTATGTTAAAGAAGGAAGCATAACGAGAAGCAAAATTTCTCTTTCTGTGTAATTGCACTAGCAATAAATAAAGCCAGTACAGTGTTATTGAAAATTTTCTGTAGTACTTCATAAATTTCTTTTTCTTTTCTTATCTGATGTCTGTTGATTAAGCAGTAACAGCTTCTTTTATTTTGTTAGCATTTTTACCTCCTTCTGTTATGTTACCTCCAAGAAGGCTGCAAACACTTTTGCATCAAGCTGTAGAGCTCCAGAAAGATAGATGCCCTTACCATAATTCAAAGTCAGAAAGTAATTTGGAGAATGTGTCTCTGCTTATTGATCATACATGTACAAAGTGAGTTAATCATATCCTGTTTATTAAAAGGCACCTATTATTTTTTTTTTCCTTGTGTCACTTTTTGTAGTATTAGCATTGTTGAGTTTTTTCCTCTTTTCTTAAAAATATCTGTAGGGAACAGTTCCCATGTGAAACTGTCCAAGTTCTCAAAGATCACTGTGATGAAGTTTGGTTTTGTCGCTTTTCAAACGATGGCAGAAAACTAGCTACCGGTTCCAAAGATACTACAGTTATCATCTGGGATGTTAATCCTGTAAGTGAAACTAAAAAAGTTTGTTCTGCATTTAAAATTTTTATTCAAAACTACAATGAGAGTAAATTTTTTGGCATGTTTTATTAGAAATCTGTGAATTTTTGCAGGAAACGCTAGAGTTGAATCATCGAAGAACATTTGAAGGACATCCTGGAGGTGTATCATTCCTTGCTTGGAGTCCTGATGATACATATCTTATAGCTTGTGGTCCCGATGATTCATCAGATTTATGGGTTTGGAATATTGAGGTCAATTAATATTATTTTGCTGTACTTCTCATTGTTAATATTTATGCATAATATAATAACAATGTTCCAATTCTTGTTCGCGTACACTGATGATAATTTTAAATTTACATTCAATTTTTCAGTTTTAATACTTTTGTAAATGCAGATTTATTATTAAGAATGTTTTTAAATTGTCTTTTTAGAATATCATCTGTTATAAGATTATATGCTTTTAAAATATTTTATTCATGTAAGTTTAAGTTGCTGTATTTCTATTACTTTAGACTGGAGGTCTTAAAGTTAAAATGAACCATTCACCTGAAGATAGCCTAACTACATGTGCCTGGCATAAAGATGGGAAAAAGTTTGTTTGTGGTGGAACTAGAGGACAATTCTATCAATGTGTATGTGAAGTATTATCAATTTTATAAAGAGTTTTATTCAGCTATTTAAAGCTATTATATAGCTATTGATTATTTTATCAGCATAGCATAAATTATGAGATGTTATTTAAATGTGTAACTGAGTAATGTAAACAATGCATTTAAAATTAAACAAAAAAAATTCTGCTCATATTAAAGGTATGAGTGGCATTAAGTATTAAATAATGAAATTTTACGACTTCTTAAGGGTTTCGTTTCATTTCATTCAAGTTAGAAATACCAGTGAAGTAAAATGTAAATACAAGAAGGCAGTACATAAGATAAAAGTTCTGATTTTTGAAGAAATATTCAAAAATGCACCAAAGAAAATTAATATTTCCAAGACAGCTCCATTTTTTAATTTGCATAGTAAAATAATGAGAAAGAAGCAAAGAGAAATTATTTTCCTAAATCATCAACAGGAAATTTTTGAAAGTGCTCAAGTTCTGTTCATGGATGAAAACATTAGTTGCATCAAATTTATTGCAATTGTTGAATATAAGCATTACCTGAATGTAATTTTTAAAATATTTTAAAGGTCTGGGAATATGAGAGTTTAACTTTGCTTTAAAAAAAATTAGCATGCTGTGATGAAATTTGTATATCTTTCATTGCTCATATTCTTAAACTCTCTTGTGTATTTAATTCTTTTTTGCTGACTCTATATATTTTAAAGTGTTCAAGTATTTATTTAAGATTTCTTGAAACTTAGTTCTCTTCCTTCATTGCTCATCTGTTTCTGTAGTTCTCTGTGATTATCATTTATTTAATCTATCATGATGTTTTATTGCCATTAGAATTTTGGATATGAATTTGCTAAGATAACATACATTGTTTTGCTATTGTAAATAATTATTCAGAGTTCTTGAAGTATATTAATTTTTCTGTATAGAATATAAAATAAAATGCTTTTGATAATAAAACATTTTCTACTTTTTTTCCATGTAGGAGAGCAGAAGGACTTTTCGGTCTTATTCTGTCATGTTGTATAGTCTTGCATTCAGTGTTTTCTTTTATATTGTCGTATTCATAAATTACATGAATAACACTCACAGTGTGTCTGCAGTACAGTTCTGCCTCACATAAAGAACACAGTCTGTTCTAGAATGTCTTTTGTTATGCAAATTATTTTCAGGATGCTACTTCCCATTAAGTTTCTAATGAGAATAATTGTAATCTACTGCCTCACATGCTCATAACAGCAAAAAGTCATAAATTTCAGTTTATCACCAAAGTTGGAAGTGCTTGGAATTTACCAATTTATAGGTAATAAAAGTATTACTTTCAGTCTTAAATTTTGTTTGTTCAGTTCAAACTCAAGTTTTCCAAATATTCCTCTAAATCTATTCTTGATCTTGTTGCATATTTGCTTTTTAATTTTATTCTCACATGTTACAATTTTATGACAGCTGTCACAGTTTTATGAATTAAACATTTCAAACATTTTTTGCAAATATCCATATAGAATTGTAAAAAATGCAAAAGTTTATTTCTAAACTGATTTATGCTTTATTAATTTAGGATTTGGAAGGTAATGTATTAGACTCTTGGGAAGGTGTTCGTATTCAATGCCTTTGGTGCAGAAAGGATGGTAAAACTGTTCTTGCTGCTGACACACATCATCGCATTAGAGGATATAATTTTGAAGAACTAAGTGATTTTAATATGTAAGTCCATATTTCGTTTTCAGATTAATTTAAATTTACCCAATAATTTTTCCTATTTCTGCATTTGGTTTTTAATGTTGAATTTTTAATATTAAATATGTCCATTTCGTGAATCATGAAAATTTCAGTGTTCATAATTTTGGCTACTGAAATGTGTTACTGTACCTTTTAAAGTAAGTGTATATAAATTATATACACATATTAATTGCGATATTATATAGAGTTTGTGTGTGTTCTGTATAATTTTCTAGAGTTTGGTATTGGTATTTGGACACAGGTTGAATCCTGGTGAATGGGCTAGCTTCATATTCAGCATTTCCCTTATGTGTAACTTGAATGTGTACTGATTTTTTTCTATAGGTCCATGAAGACATCACTTCCTTTAAGGAGATAGGGCCCACCAGCGGCCGAGTGGTAAAGTCGCTGAACACTGGTAGTTCGGTCCGAGGTTTGAATCCTGCGAACGGGCAGGCTGCATGGTTGTTTTCCCCATGTGTAACGTCTACGCGAGCCAGTTTTTCTTAGAAAGTCCACCACGAAGGCATCCCTCCCCTTAGGCAGATACCTCTCGAGGCTTTGCCGTAATTAAATAACCTAGCCTTACCTAACCTAACCTTTAAGGAGATAGAACTTATGGGCTTATCAAACTGATGGCCCCTGAAACGAATTTATGCAGCCCACAGATATGTTTCTGTTAAATCAGTTAGCATTATATGGCACAAATCTGAAGAAATGTTTTAGGGTTTTAATAATTTTTGACTCAATTTTACATATTTTCATTACCCTAAGAAAGATTGTGAATAATGCCCCAGGAGGATTACAAATAGAACTAATTAATTTATATTTGATATAAACCATAAAATATTTGAAGGTATAGAAAAGATGAACCTTATTTCATACTTGTCAAAATATAAAGGCCCTCAGGTATGTATTTTTCCAGTGAGAATAATCATTTTATTTGGGAATATGTGAACAGTTTTTCCCGCAGCTAAAATTTAGCAAGTACTTTTTTTTTTTTTTTTTGTGTGTGTGTGTAAAGGCCAAAATGATTGATAAGCATTTATAAATTCAGAATAATTTCTAGTAATTTTTCTCCAAGGTTACAAACTTGATAGAAATCAACATACTATGAAATGTTGTAACTGAAAATGGTAGTGAGAAGTAAAAAAGTTTATAATTAACTGTGTATTCTGGCATATAATGCACACATATAATTTCAAACTATATTTTTTAGATTTTAGGTATATTCGCCATATAATGCACATTCTTTCCTTGATGAAGAAACCTGAAAGATACATTTATGATGCTCTTATTTTTTGAAGTCATTCATTTGAAAATTTCCCCCTAAGCTCTTGAGTGATGGTATACTGAATTGACAAAGCAATAAGGGAAATAATATGTGTGTAGGGGAAATTATTGAGGGGTAAATAATTCTGCAAAGAGGATGTGTTATATTCAATCCAGATGTGCACAAGAATGTTATTCTAGTATTTAAAAAAGGGGGGAACATTATTTGAGGTAAGAATCCGCTTCCAACCTGAATGAATTCATGGAATTAGCCATTGTATGTTTTCTCTTTCTGTAGTCTTTTGAAGTGAACATTGAAAGGAAGGAAAAGGAGGCAAAATTCATCATGCAGATCTAGAACTGAGTGTGGATAATAAAAGCATGGAATGAAATGAAACCCAATTTAATTCAAAAATCATTAAAAAAATGCAGTGTATCTAATAGTCTAAATGGAATGAAAGATTATTATTTATTTTGTGAGTGAAGGGGAAGTTGAAACAGAATTCGATGATGTGCATGAAGATATAATGGAAGGCAAATGTGACAAAATTTTCATGTTATCAGATAAGTTCATAAGGAATGTAATTTCTTTCTAACATACAGCATTTAGGTGCATGTAGAAATATAATTTTTACATGCTCATCTTTTCCTTATTTTTAAATCTATTGCTTTTATATCGATGTATAGCGCACACTCGTACATTTCGATCTTGTATTTTGTATTAAAAGTGCACATTATATGCTGGAATATATGGTACATATACTGCTCGACATTGAAAATGCAACACCAAGAAGGAGTGGTCAGAAAGTGATGAAATTTGGAGAAAAGACAGAGACAGCAAGCAGCAATAAGTGATCTTTATTTCAAAATGATGGTCAGAATACAGAGCGAGAACGGCGTCGGCTCAGTAGGATGTAGGACCACCCCGGACAGTGATGCATGAAGAAACACGTTCAGGCATAGAGTCAATAAGAATGTGGATGGTGTCCTGAGGGATGGCTATCCATTCCCTTTCAACCATTGCCACAGTTCGTCTTCTGAACGAGGCAGGGGCAGATTCTGCAAACGGCGTCCAATCACATCCCACACATGTTCGACTGGTGACAGGTTAGGACAGTACGGTGTCCAGGGAAGCATCTGTATAGCTTGCAGAGCATGTTGGCAGATGTGAGCACTGTGTGGTCGGGCATTATCCTGCTGAGAAATTGCATTAGGCAGCCCCTGAAGGTAGGGGATTGCCACCAGCCACAGTGCATTATCCAAGTATCGTTGGGCCGTCATAGTGCCCTGAATACGAACTAGAGGTGACCTGGAATCGTAGGCAATAGCGCCCCAAACTATTATGCCACGTCGCATGGTGTGGGGCATTCCACATTTTCTGCCAGATTAGATCTGTCTCCACGTCAACACCACACACGTATGTGGCAACTGTCACTGGATAAACAGAAGCATGACTCATCTAAGAACACGACGTTTCGCCATTCTGTCATCCAGTCCGCCACCATTCTAAATGTTGGCGTCTATGCTGTGGGGTCAATGGCAGTCTTCTTAACGGACGCTGTGAGTGCAGGCCACGTTCAACCAATCGTCGGGAAATGGTTCTGGACGACACGGGAACCTCCAGGGTATCTTGCACATGCTGCAGAATCGCGGTACAAGTGACTTGCGGGACCTCCACAGCTTATTGGTGGATGCGTCGATCCACACATGATGACATCACTCTGGCTGCATCTGCACCCCGCCTTCTTCCCACATTTCCTTGTTCCAACCATGTTCGCTATAGCCGATGCACCGTGCTCCCATCCATGTGGGTATTAGCTGTGATTTGACGCAAGGACCAACCCACAATTCTCAGTCCCATCACCATACCCCTCGTAAAATCGTCTATCTGCTGGAAGTGCCTTCGTTGACAGTGGCCTGGCATTCTCTCCTATTACACGTATCCTCCGGGACAAAAACCAACTTTCTTCAATAATTCATCTGGAAGAAATAATACGAATATTGCACGTTCCTTTCATTATATCTTACTTCACGTACGTCGGAGAGCTGCGCATTTCACATCATTCGCATAACTCAATGACGTGTGTCTACTCTAAAATTTGCATAAATTTCTGACCACTCTTTTTTGGTGTTGCATTTTCAATGTCGAGCAGTGTACATACAAATATATGTAATTTTTCTGTATGTGTTAAAGAAAAATTTAATAAATAAAAGAAAGGTAATAGGTTGTTATTATTTATTCTCAAGTTTTGGCCCACTTGGGAAGTTTTCAGGATTTGTTTTAATTTATATAAGTTGTTTAATGGTTAATTCAGCATATTAAAATTATTTGAAGTAAATGTCTGAAAATTAGTTTGAACTATTTTGTCAAATTTAGTTTGAATTGTTTAGTTGTTTATGTTTGAATTACAAAGTGTAACCAACAAAAATTTCTTGCAGGTCCTTCTAACATTAAGATTTCATTCAGAAATTTAATATAAATTGGAATTTTTTCCTTTGAATTATTATTATTACCATTTACATATGTTTTGATAAATAGTTAAGAAATTTGTAAAAAAGCTTTTAATTTTAGTAAAAAAAAAATTGGTAAATCAGTGCTTTCAGATCAGCATTCGGCCCTCATGCAGTTTAAATTTTGAGACTATTAGATTAAACCATCTCCGAAACTTGTATATTTAATATTAGTTTCAGATTTTTTAAGCTAAAATAAAATCTTTATGACAAGTGAAAATATACAATACAGTTAAAATTAATATAATTAAGAGTATTATAGTTTGTGCTTATGTAATTAAATTTGTAATAGGAATAAGTTTTTACCTCAAAAATTTAACTAAGTATTTAAGCGATATAAAAGGTTTTAACTGGGAAACTCGATGTTAATTATAAATTGGGGCTATAGTTTTAATTTATTTTCATATTATATTAAGGTATTAGAATAAGCCATTTTCATAATTTTAGTCCATTGTGTATAAAGATTAAACAGGATTTTTAGTTCAAGACTGTATAATTTTAAAGGTGCATAATTAGCAGGTTGTAAATAAATGATTAATCATAACTTTAAATTATGTTCAAGCCTGCACTTTTTATAATGATCCAGATGTTGAAGAGAGAGTCGGGAGTAGTGCTGATAAAAGTCCAATTACATTGCATATGAGAGTGGAGCATGATTCACTACATTAATGTAATATTTCATGTTACTTAAATTTCATATAAATGAGAAAAATTTACTTTTATTTTATTTTTGCTTTGTAATACATAAAATTTCTTTTGAAAAGGAATGTCTTAAAACTGAATATGAGTAATAATGTATATAGTTTGTGTCAGTGCTGGAGACATTTTTAAAATTGCCGTATTTGCTAAATTCAGTATTTGAAGTATATAGCATTGAATTACATTATTATAATACCTCTTATCTGACATTAAGGATATACAGCCAATGAATAAATTTTTGTGCCCAAAGACATAGTTTATTCATTGCTACTACAGCTATATAAGATTAGATGTTAATGACTTGCTGATGTAACTGCAATGGCTATAGTTCAGAAAAATAAATGAATGAAAAAATAAACACAATTTATCAGACATTGGAAAAGAATAACATCAGCTACTGGCACAAGAGTGGTACCGTTTTTAAAACAGAGGAGTTTATGAGCTGTTTGTGCTGTGGCTTTTCACTTGCAGTAAACTCATTTTAAAGAGGTTCCAAAGGAGACACTGGGTGACTACACTTCTGGCTGTAAGATTTCATTACTAAAGTGGCTGCAGTTTGTGTTAGATTATCAACATTGGCCTTATACCAACTGAGAATGAGTTGCCTTCTCTGATGAGTCACATATTTTGCTCTAATTATCTAACAGATAATAACATGCTTGATGGAAAAGACTGAGAACAAACACTTAAAAATCATTGTTAAATATATAAGATGGTAGCCATGTTATGATCTGTAGCTGTTTGATGCTTCCAGAAGAAACTATCAACTAAGTATCGCTTCATCTTTGCTGGTCATAAAATCATAACAGCTTATACACAGAACCACTTATGCATGTTGACTGTCTTATGTATGTTTTATGAGAGATTTTAGCAGATCTTAATGAATCACTTCTTCAACATCTGGATATGTTTATTCAGATGTTGATTCAGATTATGTGACACAAAATACTCATTACCAAGAATAGCATTTGTTTACCATCCATGCTGCCAGAGATAATTAATTACTTGGAATTTTAGGAGTTTGTTATAATAATGTAACTGTTTTATTAATAATCTTATGTTTTCTGATAATTTATTTTAAGTAGATGTTGCTGATTGAAAGTTTTTCTTTCACTTTTAATCTCGTTTTCTGATAACTAATTTCAAGTAGATATTGCTGATTGAAAGTTTATTTTCTGTCACTTTTTTATTTTTAATTTTCTGTCATTTTCAGGGGAATGTAGAAGTACTTTTTATGCTGCAAAATAAAACTTTATCTCAATTAAAACTCCCATGCTGATCATTATTTCAGATGTTTTAAAGTTTGCAATTTTTGTTTTACTTTAGTAAATTAAATTTTTAAATTTCAGACTGCAAGAAGGTCATTCAGTTATGTCTTTCACATGTGATGAATCTGGAAGAATGGCCTTACTAAATGTTGCTACTCAGGTAATATACTTAAATGCAGTATGTAATATGAAATAAAAATAAATTACTGATTCTTTTGCAAGTAGTTAAAAAAATCTCAGAATGTTATTTGCTCAGGACCAAGTGTACCAATAGTTGGATATCCACATAAAGTGGTTATACTTCATAATTTTGTGCTTTAATTCTGGTCTGTAGAAATGTTTTGTTCAGTGAAAATCCCATTTGCAGCAACAGTGTCATAATAATGCAGGTTCTGAAGGAGAATTTTTTATACTAGTGATGTAGTTCTTTAACATCTCAGTTTACTTTCACAATTGTGTATGATTGATACCTGTTACTGTATTGAAATAGCGTCTGACGACAAATCTGTATAGGCTTGTGCCTTCATGTAAAAGCTTGCAATGCTTTGCCGTTATTACTTGGTGCACTTTTGCAAGGATTCTATTTCTTGTCAAGCTCTTACCCGGCTTCTTTCCCCAGTGCTGGTTGGCATCCATTTGCATATCAAAAAGTCTCCATTTTCAATACCCAGCATGCTGATTTTACATTTGATTTTTAGTATAGTTTGTTTTTCCATTAAATAACCCTTAGTTAAAGTGTCTAAATTTTGGATTTAAATGTGTTTATTACAATCAAACCCAGTAAGAGTTTTTTTATTTTCATATTTTTTTTTCGATATTTAGTTCTTTTATGTGTTTGGAATTTTAATTTATATATAATTATAGATGCATTATTTAAAAAACTTTCAACTAGTTAAATCTAGGCTGAGATATTATGATTCATACTTGAATGTGAATGAAATTTGATTGCTCGCGGATTTTGGATGTCTTGTTGTCTTTTTTTTTTTTTTTTTTTTTTTTTTTTTTTTTTTTTTTTGGATGCATGTACTTAAAGCTATATTTTTTATTCTAGGGTGTTCATTTATGGGATATTGAAGACAGAATTTTAGTCCGAAAATTTCAAGGTGTCACTCAAGGTTATTATACCATTCATTCGTGTTTTGGTGGAGTAAATCAAGTTTTCATAGCTAGTGGTAGTGAAGGTAAATAGATTGATTTTTTTTTAAAGGACGTGCTTGAAATAGATTTTTATCATATTGTGTGTGCTGATGGCAATTTTGAACATTCTTCTCATTTAATCTTTGAGTACTATTCTGTAATAGTAAAAATTGTTAATGGTACTAGGCATATTAGAACACTTGATTTTTTTTTTTTTTTCCCTCCATTCTTTTGAAAAGTAGGTAAATTTGCAATATAAAACATAAGCTAGTTTAGCATCACACATTAGTTGTAATTTAGGTCCATATTCTACCTTGGCTTTAATGATAAGTAATATTTAAATAGACATTTAGCCACACTCTTGAAAAACTGAGTTCTAACTAACTAAGTTCATTTAGAGTGTTTTCATGAGCAGTGAATATCTCAAAATGATCTCGTTGCAATTAAATCATCTAGATCTTGCCGATTTACTGTGTTTCATTGTAGTTTTCAAAGTTTCATTAAATTCATTCTTTAGAAACTTGTTATGCTTGTTTATGCATTAGTGTCCATTTTAGCAGCATGGGTTGAATAAATAAAATTCTTCTTTTTTATTGGGAGAGAGGAGATAAAACTGTATACTAGTTTTAAAAAGGTCATCAAATAAGTTTAGCAACCAAGCAAAATACTGTGTAAAAAACTTTAGAAAAACAAGATTAGCAGCTAAATGGTGATAATAAATTAGTCTAGAATTCCAATCACTTAATTTGCAAATGCCTATAATCTATATTTTAAACATGAAGAAACTAAAATTTGATTTTTAGAAATAAGCATATCTGTCTTTCAGAAATGATATAAAGTAAAACATATTGCAAAAAAAAATTCTGACAAATTTAATATTGAAAAGTATGTGTTAAAAAATGAAATTATAGCTCTGCAAACTGATCTAAATTTACAAGCTAGAGAACCTGAGGAAGACTTTTGGAAATGTGTCAAGAAAAGTATCCCTACATCATGTATCGAATATCTATTCTTGTTTTAAGTCTATATACTTATGCAGTAATTAAGTAGATTCTCCTCTTAGGCCTTTTCATACTTGAAATTCATGAAGACTAAACATCGTTCCCTATTTACCGATACATTTGCTAAAGATTCATTTTGTTCATTAAGATTTCTTATTCATTCTCTGATTACTCACTAAATTATGAATGCTTGATTGGAGACATGCAAATTTTCCATTAATAATAAAATATAATAAAATAAAATTTAACTAATTTTTTCTGCATCTACATTTCATTTAATAAATATTATTAATAAATTATCATGTTGGTTTAATACCTTCTCCCCTACTGTCATTTACTAGTATATAAGACACAAGTTTGACTGTGTTAAAAAGTCAAGAATTTATTAGGTAGCTTGTGACACATTTTTAAGAAATGAAGTCGATTTTCCATTTCATGCGTGTAATTTTTTAACATGTTCATACATATTTGGTTTTTTACAGCATTCAAAGCTTCGGAGTATATTTGTATTGAAATTATTTTATTAAAAGCATAAGGGAATGTTTTTGATTTCATTGCAGACAATAAAGTATACATATGGCACATCAAAAGAGAAATGCCAATAGCAGTTCTGCTAGGCCATACACGCACCGTAAATTGTGTCTCTTGGAATCCGACCTACCCAAGCATGTTAGCCAGTGCCTCAGATGATGGAACTGTTAGAATTTGGGGACCTGCCGAGAGGTATCGTTCAAGCAGTAAAGGTAAAAAATGTTTTGATATTTAATATTTTCTTACTATTATCTAAATTATTTTAAATACAAAGACTGTGCAGTGCAATATATGGTAACTTATGCTACTTGAAAGAGTAATTCAAGTAACACAAATCATATAGTGATTTAAGGGTGTTCCCCTATGCATGCACACTTAAAGTCTGGAATGCTTTAAATATGTTAGTTTATTTCTCATCACTGCATATTCAATACCAAGATATTTTCTTCTTGATTGCTTTTGATCGTGTATGAAATTTCTAGCATCTTCTTGCATGCCATAGAAGTTTCTCTGTTGTATGGGTTTTCTTCAAGCTAGATGAGTTTACCAATGGCTGAGTTATGAAAGCACTGAAAATCAGTAGTTCAACTCGGATTCCTTCCGAGAATGGCTTGATTGCATGGGAAGTTTTAAAAAGTCCACCACAGAGGCATTGTTCCCTTTAAGCAAGTAGTCCTTGCAAACACAGTCAAAATAATCAAATAATCCTAAATCTTCAGATTAGGTTTTAATTTTGGTGATTAAATGTACCTACTTGTAGTGTAATATTAATTTTGTTTCCCTATGAGCATTTTTTTTAAAGTTATTTTAGTCAGTGTTTTTAATGAAGAATTATTAATATGGGTTCATATCTTGGATGAGATATGGACATTTGTGATTGTGGTTCTTTATATAATAAAAGTAGGTAAAAATTGAAGTTTGAAGACGTAGAGGTTGATAAGGGAAATGGATCTGAGATTCTGAGGTTCCGTTGTTACGGGTGCTGTTAGTGAAGACTGGAATTTTGCTGGGCAGACAAAACTTCTTGTACTCTGTTTAATTAATCAGTCCTTTTTATTTCAATTACAAGATATATTTGAAACGACTTTCAGAAAGAGAAATATGAAAAGCAGTTAGATTTATATAGCCATGTATAGCATTATTTTGACTGCTTCAAACTGGGAGGACTTTGTATAAGTAGTGATATGTTAATCAAACCTCTAAATGATAGAAACAGTCTATATTAAGTAAAATTGCAGTCCAGTGATAGTCACATTTTATATTCAAGTTTAGTGTACATATATGGGCTTTAAATTTTTCAAACAGAGCATACAGGTGGTTTTCAAATTTTAGGTGAATATATATTTTTTTTCACCTCTGCTTACTATAAAATTTAACTGATTGTCACTTCCTGCTGGAAAAGGGTATGAATCAGTTGCGAGTAGAAAATATATTTAATACACTCTCATCAATTGAGACTTTTGTATCCATCATTGTAACGAAATAGTCACTATGATCACCATATTAAGTGCTGATTATTATGAGCATCAGCATAGTTTTCTCCTGTTCAGATTTTGTTTATATATTCTCTCATGATAAAAGTGATTACTGTACTTCTTTACATATACCTCCCTGCAGCCTTTTAGCACCAGGTTCTGAAAATTTAAAAAATATCCATATAATTAATTATCCTTTTCCACAGTGCATTCAAAAAATGAGCACGCCTAAATTTTTAAGTGGATTCATCCATGTAGTAATTATTTTTGTCTTAGTAACAAAGACAAACTGTCACAAACTATCTATAAATTTTATGCCAAACCTTTCCCATCTAACTGTTCAACTTTATGCCAGCTTAATACAACCATTTACAGCAAAGCAAACGCAAACTGACATTCAGTCTTTGATTTTGATGAATTGTCTGTACATTCACTTTCTCTAATTATTTGTGGATAATTTGAAGAATAAGGAGTAGCTGAGACAACAATAAAAATGTGTAAGCTTCAAGTTACAGGAAGTAGAAATGAATATATGTTATTAGGTATTGTAATTCTGATATTACTATGTATTCTTATTGGAATGTAGGTTTCTTTTTAAAAAATATTGTGGTATTACCTGTAGTTTATCAATAACTATTTATTATTTTTTATGTTCTTACTGTAATTGCAACCTTCAGAAGTTAAATTATTAGCATTATTGTCTCTGCTTGATTTTCAGACAGTAAAATTAGAAGATTAGGGAGAGGGGGGAACATGCGAGGAAATATGGCATATAAAGTTTAGGATTAGTATTGCATATGTTGCTAATTTCAGTGAAAATCTTTACATCATAATTCTTAAATGTACATTCCAGTTTGAATAATAAGGCTATTAATAATTTGAAGTGTGTATCTTTGCTGTTTTACTTTATGTTTTGCACTAAAGAGAAATACATGAATTTTTGGAAGAGCAAAATGCACAGGAAGCACAATTTAGGAATCAGGATTGCATTCTCATTGGATATGAGGCAGAACAGGTTAATCATGAGATCAGCTTCTCGAAAATATAATGTGGCAAAAACATATTCTCAAAAATTCATTTTATATGGCAGTCTGTGAATTTAAACTGTTCCGCTTTGAAGATAAAGTGAATATTATTAGAATTATTAGAACAACGCAGATTAGATGCAATCAAGCCATTGTATGCCAGAAATAAAATTTATCTACACATGTAATAATAGCATATGGAAGAATCAACACTCACTTTTTGTGTGTGAAAAAGATTTTGATGTAAGACAAAAGTTGAGAATATCTGGGTATTAGGAGGGATGTTAAAAAAACATTGGGTAAACTAATTTTATTATTTACAGAAGCTGCAGTCTGCCAGTATCTGGAAAAATGTTTCAGGCACAGGATGACAAATTGCCAAAATTTTTTTTTATAAATAGTTCCTTCTCTTTGTTTCTGTCACTTTGGGGGGATGCCTCTGTGTGTATGCACACATATCAGACACAATAAGACATAAATAGATAGCTTTAAAAAGTAGAACATTTCTTAAGATAAAATTATCATAGAACCTGAGTATTGCAGTATTTGATATTGAGGTGGGAGTTGTTGTTTGAAGTTTTTTTTTTGTCACTGCAGTGAAATACTGTTTCTTAACCGCTTCCCTTACAAATTTTTTTGAAAAAAATTGCAAAAAATCATCACATTTTTTTATTTTATGATTAAATACAACAAAACGAAACAAATCAAAATATGTAGGTTTTAAGTTGAATTTTTAATTTTTTGAAGGTGTAAAAGCATTTATTTTTAATATTAGTTTACTATCCCGAGTTATCTTGGGCAAACGGGAAAAAGTTAAATATTAATCTTTGTATGATAGTTCTTGAAACAAGGGACAACACAGAGTGATGCCCGACATTCTACACTGGTATCTGGTCTCTTTTCTTACTGGCTTACCGCTGGAATCTCTTTCACGGGAGCACAGAGTACACTGTCTCGTTGGATTTGATTTTTTTTCCCCACCTCTTCATAATTATTATCTGAAAAATCATCGCTTTCACTATCTTGCATCATCGCCATCATTTAATTTTTTTTTTTCAATGCATGCATCCTTCTTTATACATTACTAATTCACAAGCCACCGTATACAATACAATAGGGAAACACGTAACCAGTTCCTCCCAAAAGAATTTGGCAACCAACAAAATTTGGCAAATTGCCAATCAAAGCTGAATATTTCCTTTCATTTCCTCCAGACCGAATAAAACCGTGATAAAAGAAATCGTACTAACAAATTCTAATTCGCCCGAGTTTTCTTGAGATAATAATTAACTGCAATATATACGAACCCGAGATAATCAGGCAAGCAGTTAAGATGGTGGCAAATGTTAAAAATTAGGCAAAAAAATTTGTATTGATGAAAAATTGTCAAAAGTTTAAATTGCTGTTCTTGTGGGTATGCAATTCAGAGAATATCTTGATTTATTGAATGGTTTCTAGTTATTGAAAAGTGTCTTTTGTTTCCTTTCTTTATGTAGTATTATTATTAAAAAAACTTTGGCGATTTGACCTGAATTTAGTTTTTGAAGTTACTTTAGTATGCTAGTCTAGTAGAGGGTGTTAAAGGGGAAAATGATAAAAATTACAATTAGCCAAATGGCACTTGAACAATTTCAGATCATGTCATGGAGGTTTTCCAGGTGTATGTTGAATGACAAACATATTGAGACTGAAATTTAAGTTGAAAATGTTGACATTGAAAAAGCAGAACACATGGAAATTGAATTTTTCACCACTGGATTTACCTAAGTTAGCAATGCTTGTCATTCATAAATCTTTTCCTACATGAATTTTAGAATTGAGACTGATGGAATAACTTCAGTTTTTGGACAAAAATATAGATAACATTTTCCTGTAATCAGCATTATATTAGCAAAAGACTAGATTATTTTTGTGCTTTCAGATATTGAGTAAAAATTAAATTCAACAATATATTTTGTTATTTAGTCAGGTTATTTATTTATTTATTTTGCATAAAATGATCATCTGCAGTTTGATTATGCTTTTTCAGGTCTGTACAAATGAATATTTTACAATTTTATTTCTTCACTAGGAAAAATCTAGGCTGTTGAATTCTTATTTGTTATTGTAAATTAAATAGGGGGAAAAGTGTTTGTTTTTATTTCTAGTTTTTCATGGTTAGTTGCTGTTTCATCTGTTCTATTGAAAAATACTAAACATATTATCTTGTTAAATTTCAGGACAATCTTTAAGTATATCGAACACAAATGTATAGCCTAACGTTAATGTAGGAACCTTTGTGTGTATTTAATCATTGGTGGCAGAGAACTTCCCAAAGGCCTTGTTTGAAACCTGTGCATCATCTGTTTTATCACCAGAAAGATGAACTGGAACAAAATAAAAGTATGACATCCCCCCTGAGACATTTTCTTTGTTCTGTCTTGGAAATGAGGTGATGCAAGGAACTGCCAAGGAATATGTAGCTACCTGTGTGCAGGTTTGGCTCTGAGCAAAGAGTTATTGTGCCTATGTTATGAAATATTTCACGATATTGTCATGCTTGAGAATGCCCAAAGTCTGGTAGTAAATTCAGTTGGTGTGTGACATGAAACTCAGTTTGAAATGCTAGTTATCTTTGTATTCTTTCATTTAATGCAGTTTGTAAATATTACTGTTTATTTTTTTTTTCCTTATAGAAAAATATTCTGTGTTATTGTTGTGTTCTTATAATTTTTGCAAAATATATAGTATTGTTTTATTAACTTTTCCGTGTACTGGGTATTAGAAAAAGATTAAAGAAAATAAACTTTTAAACTTTCATTACATTTAGCTGTGGTCACAAAATATAAAATGAGAATTAAGTTATCATTGTTGTATTTTTCATGAATATATTTCTTAGCAAATGATATGAATGCGTATAAACTTCGTAGTGTCAAAAGTAGTATATAAACTTAAATAATCTGGTCATTACATGATGTGCTAAAATTTTTCTTCTTTAAGTTTTAACTAACAGTGTTAAATAATGTGTAGAAATAAATTTGTGCAAGGTTATATAAAAGGTAAATATGCAACGAATTCTTTTCTATCATGATAAATATCTGGCTAAAGTACCTAATAGAAATGTTCAGAAAATTTTTGCAAATGGTACCCTCCGCATGCTTTATGTATTAAAAAGTGTTAATAGTAATTAAACTTTGCAAATAATTGTATTAATTTAACCAATAAAGTAAATAATAAAAAAGATGATATTTCTTTCTTAAATTTTCACACCATTGTTATTACCAACTTTGAGCATTTCTTAAATAATGACTAAGTAGATGAAATTATCAACTATAAGTTACTCCTGTGACTGATGCAAAATGAAAATAAGTGGTTGTTAGACAAGTGTATTATTGGTGATTGTGTAATCAAAGATTTAAAATATTTTCTCATTAATGTGTTTGTCTTTAAAATATGAGAAAAGTATTTGGATTTTATGTAATAATAAATCTTTTATACAGTCATGAGATATATGTTTAGAGTGTAAGAGTTTTTGAAATAATTATTGTAATATAATATTTTGTTTGAATTTTATGATTATTTTTCTTTCAAAGAGAGAAGCCTTCATTTGAAAAAATATTTATTTAACAATATCTTTGAAAGATTCCAAGCATATTATAGGTAGACTTAAATTATTGCTCTAACAAATTTTTCATTTTTAACAATATTCATTCCTAGTTTTTAAGTTTAGTTAAGAATTTTGGTCTCATGAATAATATATTTTATACTGTTACAATTATTTTTAAATAAAAAGCGCTTATGTGAAATAATTTGTTTCTTAATTTTTGAATATTTCATTTTAAAAAAACTTGTAAATATTATTTTACACTATAGAACTTCTAATTCATAACTGTACAGCTTTGGAGTTTTTTAAATGCAAATTATGCACTTTAACAAAATTAGTAAATGCCTTAGTGCCATGAAACTTGTAACTTGCATAATTTATTTTCATCTACTGGTGATCTTTTTTATCAGTTTACATATAAATCTATGCAATATTAAATGCTTCTCTTTCAAAATTGACGTGTTTTTGTCAGTTTGCAAATAATATAAAATGCTGCCTCTTAAAATTTCAAAAGGAATTTGGAAACTTTTAAAAAGTTTCACAGATATCAAATAATTTTAAAAAAGTTTTTTTAAAGAATTTATCATTATGGTACAAGATTCATATTACTCCATGACATTAGTCCTTTCAAAGGTTGCAAAAGGTCAACTTTTGCATCCATAATTAAGTAATTTGAAATATTTTCCCCTCCCTTAGTAAACAACTTGTCAGCAATTTTTTTTCATTTACAATGCATTCATATTCAAAAGTGTAAAGTTATTTTCTAAATTTGTAATGCACATTCTAGCAGGGAGATGTATAATATTAATCATTACATTTTAAACTTCAAAACATTCTCAATTCTGTTCTGAAAAATTGCATTTTAGTAGCATTTGAAAAATTAAAAAATACAGCTTGCCGATGACATATAGAATTATCGTAAAACAACTGGCGAAGTAAATTTAAAAAGCACACTCGCACGTGTATGTGTATACTTTAAGCAAATGTTTGCTATCTGTGATGCAATTATTTGGATAAAGCCCTATTGTAATCCTACAGTTTTATCATTCTGTTTTGGCCATGTTTTGAGGATTGTTTAATGTTTCTAGTAAAATTTGAATGAGCACTTTTTCTCAGAATGCTCAAAATAAATAATTTGTTTATGCAATTAAACAGATAGGTTTGCTTAGCATTTTCAGCATACTTATAGAATATTTATTGATGGTACTTTTTAAAATTTTATTGTTAAATATTTTATACCCTATAAAATTATGAATTTGAAAAATTAAAGGAAGACAATTTAACAGATCAGAAACTTGAATGTTGGTACTTTTATTTTTTAATATGGCTACTTTTATTTTAAATTTGATCACAGCTTTATATTCAGCATTATCCAGTTCACTTTTTTTCTGATAATAAAATAGATGTAAAAAATTTATTGATTTTGATTGCAGGACTTACTTTTAAAAGTGTTTGAAATGCAAAATGTTACTTTCTATAATGATTTGATTTTGTTTTTGTCCTTAAAGAAAATTCCATAAAGCTTTTTTCATGTTCAAGTTTTTGAATGCTGAACTGAAAGGATAAATCCATTTACTAAATTATTAGTTTTATTCATCATATTTTATTTTGTGTGTTTTGTAAACTTTGAAGGACAGTATGCTTATTTTAAATATCAGCATTTAATAGAATATTTGAGACTTGTAGCCACCTCTTTTTTCAGTTACAGTTTTAAATTGATAATGGAAATTTAAATAAAATTTTCTAAAAAAATTTCAGTGTAAAAAATTTTTATGTTCTGAAAGCAGTTTCTTCTGGCACACAAAATGTTTTTTTTTTTTTTTTTTTTTTTTTTTTTCCCCCAGCTATGCAAAAATTTTAATGTATGTGTAATTGTTTATTAGGATATTGAAATTCTTATGATGATATTTTTTCTTAGGCCTTTTCTAAGTATTTTAAAGACCACAGGAAGCTTCAGTTCCACAGTACAAAATGAGATAGTCATTTATATTTAAATGTTTTGCTAATTAATTGTTTTACTAGCAAAGCTGACTACCAAAATTTATGTATTTGTTTATTAAATAAAGTAACTAGCACTGAGAATCAGTATGTAAATAATTGTAAAATAATTTAAATAGTAATTTTTATGTATGTATACAGTCAGTTATGGAGTATTTCTTTTAAATATACTAGATGAGTTACAGAATATAGTACTTTTAATTGTTTGCTTAAAATGCTTTGTAAGAGAAACTGAATTGATCAAAATATCTTAAGATGCACTTTTTGTACTTGTATTTCATTTAAATTGTACACATCTGAAGGAAAAAATAGTTTATTAAAAACACTGTGTAACTTGTTATTAAAATTATAAATTTGTGTTTCATAAATTATAGTAATTTTTCATAACTTGAAAATTGTAGTTATTTTTACTCTTGAATGTAAATAATTTATATTTTCCTTTGTCTTGCTATTCTATTTAAAAGCTCACATGGTACCATTCATCTGCAACTTAACATTTTATGTATATTAAATTAAGAACAATGTCCTTTAATGTAAAACTTCTCAAAATATCTTTCACCTATGCACTGTTTATGTATGATTATAGCCACCAGAACTGTGTTCAAAATCTGAATTTGAAGGTTAGTAAACATTGCTCAAATACTTTAGTTTATGCAAATGTGATTTTTATGAATTTAAGTCTATAGTAATCTTCGTTTTAAGATGGTAAATATTACATTTTAAAAATAACTTAAGCATTTTCAGATTATTTGTGCCATTTTAAAAGCAATAAAAAATTTTAAAAAATGAAAGAAATCTTAAATTTTTTCAGAATTGTGCCTAAAACAGCCAAAAAGTGCCCTTAAGTCTTTCTGTGAAAGATATAATTATTACTTATATAATGTATTTTATTTTCTTAAAGTTATTTTTATTCCAAAAAAGTTTTTTATAAAAAAATTCAATTTTTGAAAGAATTTAAACAATTTTTCATTTTTTTCTTGAAGTCCTTATTGTTTTTCCCAGGAAAATTAATTCTTTTTAAAATTTTTGCTGCAGCTGTATTTTAATTTATATACTCTGAAATCTGCATTTTAAACTGTTATTAAATAAATACAAGTATCATTTGAATATGCACTGCAGTATATTTGTCTTTCTAAGCAGATAATTAATATGCAAAATATAAAGTAACTGATGCAAGAACTAAAAACATCCTGTGGGCTTTTATAGTTTCGTTTTACAAATTTTAATTAAGTAATATGGTTGTGATATTACTGATTTGATATTTAAAGAAACTAAAGTGAACAAATTCTGCCACTTAATATGAAATAAATACTAAAATTTATTATTGTATGGTTATATCCAAAGAATATATGGTGTAACCTCCTGTAGTAAGTGACTTCAGAATTAAAACTGAGTGCAGTACTTTTATTTAATGCTTAATAATATTTTTTTACATAATAAAATTGCATTCTCTTTCTGTAAAATGTTTGGATAAAAAAATGCAACTTGGAGAAATATCTCTAATAAGATATTAAAAAAATGAATATGCAATAAGTTCACATTATATTATTTGCATTTGCAAAACAGTTATGCAATTTACCCCTAACTTATGTAATGTTTGATTTTTTTTCTTTTAAAATAAACACTTTTGTACATATAAAAGTCTCTTGTATGTTAATTCGATGTGTTGTGCATTCATTCAATTTTATGTATGAAATGTATTTGCATATTAGCTTGCAAGAGAGGAGGTATTTAGTAAAATACAGAAACAGTTATTTGTGGCAATGGCTTTCAGAAGTTACAGAGCTAAGTCTTTTCTTTTGTAGCATTAAAAATAAATAAGTAAGAAAAAAAATCTGAAATCTTTCAGATTTTACATTATACCCAAAGGGACTTTTTTTAACCTTTTGTGTGTTTGTTGCCTTTATTTATTAAATGTTTTTTGCACTTAAACCTTAAAATTCAACTCAACAGCGATATCGCAAAATAATTTTAAAATGAACTTGTTAGAATTTCTGACACACAGTCTCATGCGCTGGAGATAAAAACCTTTTTTTTTCCCCCGTACAGTTTTGCCATTGCTTGCTTTGAAATCATTGAGTTTGTTAATCAAAAATTTGTTGAAGTGTTACAAAATATGAAATCGATGATAAAAACAAATTCCAAATTCCAAATTAAGACTTCCAGATGCCCCTATTCAGTGGAAGATTACGTTATGCAAAATTTGATGATCTAGGTACTGTTGTTTTACCACAGAGCAAGAAACATACATACATTTATGCAGATCTCTTATTATTTAATTTCTTTAAATGTAACACAGGGCAATAATATTTTGTGGCAACAATTTTGAAAAGTGAACTGACATTTAAAGTTTTCAATGCAAAATGCCAAAACGAAATTAATTAACCCTTCTGGGCTAATGCCCTTTGGGCTAATAAAATAAAAATAAGACTATGAAATATAACTAAAAAGGTAATGTTGTATTTACATGGTTCAGGGCAATTGCTAAATAAATTGCTGAATTTTATAGCTATGATGTCAAAAGTGTCTACATATATTGAAATTTTATTTCTGAAATATGCTTGGTATCTCAGAAATTTACTAATTCACAAAAATGGTAAGCAGTTAAGTAGATAAAAATGATACGAAACAAGGAAGAAATTTACTGTTAATAACATCAATTAGCCCGTGAAATAAGTTCACTAGCACATCTATAGTTTTAAGAAGAAGAATCATAAATTTACCATTTGCAGTTAACTTCTAGATCATTATCTGGTACTGTCGGACAGAATAACAACCACTGCTACTGCATCGTAACTTCCTCCCAATTATTTTATGAGAGCAAAGGAATGAGAAATCGTGTGTGTGAGATTCAAAGATTGATATCTACTTTGATAATGGAAAAAGCTTCGCTAAAAGACTGTTTAGCAGAAAAATTTCTGTGTGTTCTATTAACTCTTTTAGAAAGGGAAGGTCAGTATACTGAGCAAAAAGAACATGTCACTTGTGTACTTGTATATGGTTAGGTTCAATGAGTCTTCCCTTTTTTTTTTTTTTTTTTTTTTGTTGTTGTTGTTGTTTGAGTTACATAAAACATAATATCAAAAGGAACTTTCTTGCCATCATGATAAAATATCAGGCTAAAAGGTAACTCTTCTAAGTAATTCTAATGGAATGCCTTTCTGGGAAGAGTTACCTGTTGCGTTTTTTTTCTTTTTTAGATGAGAGTTACAAATCTATTACAAATCTAGAAAGTGTTGGTTGAACAAGCATTGCATCATTTCGAAGATGTGCAACATTGCAGAAAAAATATGAATTCCTGTAGAACAATACTCTAAAAGAGTATTTTGATTGCCAATTTCAGCAGTTTATGATAGAAAAATTGATAAATGCTTATTTGCTTTTCTAAGTAATTTCTGGCTTTGATATCTATGCCCTTTGAAACAGAGAGACAAAAAGAAATTCCTTTAAAATATGAATGAGCTAGATATTTTTTGTCAGTTTGATCGAGGCAGTGCCCGCGGTCCCCCCCCCCTCGTTTTGATGTTGTTTCAAAATCACTAGACTTGCTAATCACCCTATTAAATGGCATCTGTGATATTTACTTTCGTTAATCAACAGATTACTATGATCTCGTTAATTAACTGAGGTGTGAATGAAAAAAATAATTTATTCTCATTAACATCTTTAAGTAATAAGTTGTGTTGAGAATCGTTGCATATACTAGTTGATTGATAACTTCAGTATTGACTTCTAACATGTGTAATAATCTACGAAAAAACCTCCGTAATCAAATATAGTTTTAAGAATATCTACCATAAATTAACTATTAGGCATTGTTCACATTAAAACAGCAATTTGTTAGCTCCATTGAAATTAATATTTCCACAGTGTCTGAGTATAACGTCTCTCACTTCCCACTGGCTTGACAATTTATCATAGTTTTTTTCATAACCTACAATGTAATTTCTAGTCTACTTTTTTTTTTTTACATTTTTTATGCAAGGCTCTTCAGTTTTATTAGATCCTTTGCCCTTTTTAAATAAGCAAACTATTCAATTAAATAAGTGTGAAACAGACAACTGATTTTTCCTCTGTGAAAGAAAAAATATATATATATATATTAATTTAAATATGAATTTATCCTTTGCAGAATATTGAAATAATTTGCTCATTATTTAGTGCCATTAAGAATTAAACATGTAAACACACATTGATGTGGCTAGCAGTACAGTAGCAGGATTTAATTTCTAAAGCTAGAAATGTTGAAGCGACATGGAAGATTGAGAAGTACTGAAGCCAGGCTTGGGTGAGCTCTGGCTGAATTTAAGTACTAAATACACTGTTTATTGTATTATTTTAAGGGATGTGAAAGCTCAAATTATTCTTTTTCTAGCGCTCAAGTGAAAAATGTAAAATGGTTAAAGCATCACTAATGAAAATGGAGAGAATTCTATAAAGAGTATGAAAAGATTTTAAAAAAATAACGAAAGAAATCAAAGAGAGAAGCGTTAAGCACTCCAACCATGATCTCTGGTCAAGCAGAATGTGACAAGGGGAAAAAAAAACTACCCCGTACCGGTGCTGGTTCGTAAACTGAAAACATACAAAGCTCAGCATAAGTGATCCATTTCATCTGCGATAACATTCATCCGTCCGCAGACCATTAAAGTCTGAGTAATGGTAATTAATCTGAGAATTCTAAGATAGCTGATGGACTTACACATTTTATCTGATATTTATCGATGCTAAGCACTGTTTTAGAAACTTATGCCTGTTCTTACTTGGGTGCATGGCGTTTTCCTTTTCCCATCCTCTTGTAAACTGAGAATAACTGAAACCATTAATTCTAAAATGCAGATAGAAATGGTACAACCAATGTGACCATAAGAAACATATTCATTCCCACAGAAACTGTGGTAAATTTATTGCATTTGCTAGGAGATAGGTTTCAACATGCTGTTGGCGGCTTTTCTTTTCCATGAGGGTCTCAACTTTCATGCAGGAGTTTTTTTGGCAGGGAAAGATGAGTGAATTTGGAAGTCAATATCGATTTCCAAGTCTTAACGATAGTTAAAATGTTACGAAATCAAGAGAATTTTTTGCTGAAATTATTATCTAGTTTCATGAAGAAATTATTTGCTGAAGCTTATTTAATTTAGGGTTTTGGCGCACTCCGGCTGAAATCATGGTTTACCTCAAATGAAAAGTATCAGAACCTGGCTATGTTCCTTTTTGCCCCCACCTAGTTACGTCCCTGCTGCCGCGAGATTTAGACACTGAATAGCATTATTTCCTAATACTGCATCTAAAAAAAAATATTTATATTAAAATCCTTATTAAATTTTCAAAATTTAAATAATTTTGCTCACTAATTTGAATTTTATAAAATTCAGACTAATCAGCTGAGTAAAATGACGTTTCGTAACAAATTCCGGCAATGGAGCTCCCTGCAAGCAACTTTTGGTGGTGTCGCCATCTATGAGAGATAACATTAACCAATTGTATTTCTGAAGATTTATATTAGATGACACTACTGCAACTGTTTTCGTCAAATAATCTCGGATAAGCAAGGAATTTTATCGAGGGATAGAGAAACTGCCACCTTCTGTTTCTGCAAAGAATTTAAAAACTTTTTTGAGAGAAATATCTTTATTATTATGATGAACTAAAGATAAAAAGAACTTGAAATTTATAATAAAAAAACTTCGCCGAAGGGAAATTGAACCGAGATTCCAAATTTTAAAATACTTTTTTACTATTAACTTACTTGATAAACAGTTAATCAACGATCTGAATTTATATAAAACATTTTAATAATTTACTAATTTTAGTAATTAACAGTTATTTTGATGCACGTTATTTACATAATCATCATTATTAAATATTAAACTGGATAATTTATGCAGAATTTAATATGAAGTAAATTGTTTGTGTTGACTAAATTTCCAAAGTGTCATATTCTTTTAAGAAATTTTAGAAAGCCCTTCTCTAAGGCATTCCTACTTTGAGGCAAATAATTCGTAAAGCCGGAGTAATGATAATTAAACTGTAAAATTCTAGGAAAGCTGATAAAGATGATGATGTATATTTCGCATGTATATCTCCACTCTAAGCACGATTTTAGAAGACATGCATCAGTTAATTATTTTATTACTTTCATAAAAAACTTATAATTCTGTTTCTTAAACTAAGATCATCTACCTTTTTTATATGATACGTAAAGCAACAAGCAAGTTATGTAACCTGTATGTCATATTGGTTTTTAGTTCTAATAATTTTGGAGGGATGAAAACAAGTAGACGAAAGTTAATATCTGAGTGCTTTATAAAGAGTTTTAAAAATTAGGCTCTAAGTTTAGCATTTCGACTAACCGAAATTATGGAAATTTAACACTTACAGAGGATGGAACCTTTGAGTTTTCAAGTCTCAAATATTGAACAAAATTCGAGATTTGAAAATTGGAAATATTACCCTTTTTTCATCAACTGAATCTCTAGAATCCTAATCTAAAAAAATCTGAAACGCTAAGCTGAAAGATTTTTATTTGAAATGAATTTTTAATTGAAAGCTTTGGCAACATTTGTTTAACTCATGTTCAATAGAAGCACTCATCAAAATAGCGAATTTGTCTGAGTGTTACACTGTTTCAGAGTATCAAC